AACGAGGACTGACAGCGACCGTCGCCGCTCGTTATTTTACTTTTACTTCTTTTTACTTCCTGCTGACACGCAGCGCTGCTTCACTTCGCCTGTTTCCAGACAGAGGCCGAAAACCTTTTAAACCTAATAAAAAACCTGGACGCCTCGCTTTGAAAACACTAAACTTTAAAAACTGAACAAAGAGAAATAAAAGTAGAAACAGATTCAATCAAAAAAGATCAATTATCAGTTTTTATGTTAAGTCTGTGGAAGAATCAGATCAACCATCAGCTAAAAGCAGCAAAAGGCTAAATATGGCAAAAACATAGGAACAGTAATGTAGCAAAAAGGTAATTAAAAGCTAAAAGAACCAAAAGGCAAAATGTTTTAAAGAAAAGCTAAATTTACAAAACCTTTAAAAAAGTAGCAAACAGGAGGTCTGATGTGTCTCAGGAGGACAGGAGGTCTGATGTGTCTCAGGAGGACAGGAGGTCTGATGTGTCTCAGGAGGACAGTTGGTCTGATGTGTCTCTGGAGGACAGTTGGTCAGATGTGTCTCTGGAGGACAGGAGGTCTGATGTGTCTCAGGAGGACAGGTGGTCTGATGTGTCTCTGGAGGACAGGTGGCCTGATGTGTCTCTGGAGGACAGGAGGTCTGATGTGTCTCTGGAGGACAGGTGGTCTGATGTGTCTCTGGAGGACAGGTGGCCTGATGTGTCTCTGGAGGACAGGTGGTCTGATGTGTCTCTGGAGGACAGGTGGCCTGATGCGTCTCTGGAGGACAGGTGGTCTGATGTGTCTCTGGAGGACAGGTGGTCTGATGTGTCTCTGGAGGACAGGTGGCCTGATGTGTCTCTGGAGGACAGACAGTCTGATGTGTCTCTGGAGGACAGGAGGTCTGATGTGTCTCTGGAGGACAGGTGGTCTGATGTGTCTCTGGAGGACAGGAGGTCTGATGTGTCTCTGGAGGACAGGAGGTCTGATGTGCCTCTGGAGGACAGACAGTCTGATGTGTCTCTGGAGGACAGACGGTCTGATGTGTCTCTGGAGGACAGACAGTCTGATGTGTCTCTGGAGGACAGACGGTCTGATGTGTCTCTGGAGGACAGACAGTCTGATGTGTCTCTGGAGGACAGATGGTCTGATGTGTCTCTGGAGGACAGACAGTCTGATGTGTCTCTGGAGGACAGACGGTCTGA